GGGGCTGCAGTGGCTCTGGACTGGTTCAAAGTGCTGCGACTCACCCCCGTGCCACCGGGGGGCCCTGGCAGTCTAGAATTCCATTGCCAGTGCAAATATCCTTCAAAATGAGTGTGAGAGACAGAATGAGAGATTTGAAGAAAAATGCGAGATAAAAAGAACACGTGGCCGACAGACCTGAGCTGTGAGAAGTGCTAGGGAGTATGGCTGAGAGGTGGCCCCGACTCTTGGGTCTGTGGGAAGGGGCAAAGAGCCATGGGAATGATAAACATCTGAGAAAATATAAAGGGATGGCGTTTTCCTTTGCTTAATTTCCACAAAAGACAAATAATTGGGCCCTCCTGGGGGCGCAGTGGGTTACAGCACTAAGAAGTTGGGGCCACATGAGCGTGAGTTGCATCCCCGCCCCGGAGGTGACCACACGGCGCGGCAGCCCTCTCCTGACCGCCCACTGCTCCCTTCAGCTGTGTGCTTCGTGGATCTGCCTCTTCTGTATGCATAAATAAATAAATCTTCAAAACAAACAAAAACAAATAACGAGGCCCTCCCTGGTGGCGCCACAGGTTAAAAGCGCAGCACTATGAAGCTCCCCGCAGCCCCCGCAGCACGAGTTTGCTCCCCGGCCAGGGAGGGACCCCCAGGCACAGCAGACCCCTCCTGACCTGCCCGTATTTCAGTGGATCCTCCTGTTCTGCTCCCTACTCTGTAACTGGTGAAGTCTCTCACCCCCCGCACCTCTGGCCTGTACCCCAGCTTTTGTACGCCTAAATAAATAAATCCTTTTTAAACAAAAGGCAAGTAATTAGACCCAAACTAACATCGTAAGATGCGGTTTGTGGCATATGCAGAGTACAGGGCCTGACAGCAGCACGGAACGGCACAGACCACGGCAGTGCACGTGACACAGCCCGCGGCCGCGGCAGGCCCAGCGCCTGTTCCCCAGAGCAGCCCCTGAGACAGTGAGCCCCAGCCACACGGCAAAGAGGAAGGAAAACACAACGTCCCTGTTTCTGTAATGCCTCGAACCTTGAGACATAGTACGGATAGATAATATTATTTCCATTCCATCCCTCACACGAAAGAATTTAGGAGCAAAACATATGGAACAGATAGAAAGCAAATCGCACGGCACTGGGCGCTGGTATGATTGTGCCCCTCCCCCACTGGCCTCTCCACACACGTCAAGTTAAAACGAGGTCGCAGGGGCCAGGGGGCCCCTCTGGTGGCCTAGGCTTGAGTCTCAGCCCTGTCACTGCGGCCTGAGTTCGATCCCCGGGCAGAGAGTGACCCCCAGGGCGCACAGGAGACTTGTCCTGACCTGCCCGCGGCTCCGTCAGCAGTGTGTCTCAGTGCAGCCACCTGTTCTGCTCCCCATTCTGCCTCTGGGGCATCCTCTCAGCCCCCCACCTCTGACTTACACCCCAGCTCTTCTGTGTACCAATAAATAAAACTCTTTTTAGAAAGACCCTGAGGCAGCATGTCTGGCGTCCTCATGGGGGAAGGCTGGACACAGGACCACAGGAGGAGAGGGCCATGCGAGGGCCAGGGCTGGCTCTCAGAGGACGCCGGCCCTGCTCTCGCCCTGGCCGCCGACTGTAGCCTCCAGAGGTGTGAGGAGCTAACTTCTGTTGTCCAAACCACGAGAGAAGTTCACGCAGCTGCACACCCAATCGTGTTAAAAATCCCGTTAAATACAAGCACCCGATTAAAAGACAGTTTGTCAGGTAGGATGAAGAATACCCAGCCGTCGGATATGTGAAAGACACGTACGTTCCACACAGACACGGGAAGGGAAAGGAGGCGCGACCTTGCTCGGCCCGAGGAGAGGCGCTGCGAGGGCCTCAGTGCGGCGGGCGGGCAGGCCGGTGCGGCTTCCGAGGGAGTCAGCTGGGCCTAGAGCCCGCTGAGGAGGGCGGGGAGGGCCCCTGCCCGGAGACCACACGGCCGCCGGAAGTGACCCAGACAGGACCCGGGTCTCGCCGGCTAGGTGAGCACCTTGACAGCGGGCTGGGAAATGATTCTCAAGGCCGGACAGTACCCCAGACCCAGCGGTCGGCCTGAGCGGGGGCAGCCTCTGTGGCCTGCGGCGCCTGGCATGCCAGGCCGGGCGCCGGGAGGAAGAGCCCGCAGCAGCTGTGCCCCAAGCGCCGCACGGGCGGGGCTGGCATCCAGCAAGGGGGGCCCCCGCGTGCCTGGGGGGAGCGTCCTCCCCAAGGAGGCTTCTGGGGAGCCCTTTCCTTCAAGAGACCAAGGGCTAAAGTCGGGGCTGAGGAGGCGCAGGAGCTTGTCTGCCCCTGGGGGCCTGCTCCCCTCACACACCTGGCTGGGGGCCGGGCTGTCCCCCTCCCCCCAAGTTCACACCTGGCTGGCTGGGGTGATGGGAAATCACCTGCTCGTTTTTCCTGGCTGTCCCTCAGCAAAGTCCAGCAGAGGTGTTCCACTTTGGAGCCCAGGTGGATGAGCTGGAGACCTGCCTATAGAGACGGCCACGCTCCTGTGGGGGAGCCCTTAAGTCCAGGGGGTGCAGTGAGCCCAGGGCCACCACAGTCTAATCTCTGCTAGACGAATCCAGAGCACGTTCCTTTCCCTCGTTTTCCTGGGTGTCTTGGTAAATTAGCTGCTTAAGCCTTGAGGTACCCATGAGCTGTGTGGACTTGAGGGTGGGTAAATGTTGCCACCCCTGAGGCAGTGAATGCGCGGCACTGTCCCTGGCCCCCGCTGGGGCAGCAGGGGGCGCCCGAGAAGCACAGGGGCGCCGCAGGGAGTGGGGCAGAATCAGGACTGCAGCCAGCCGCTCCCCTCCAGGGCTTCCTCCTCCTCTTCTTCCGCACCTGACCCCCACCTCCGCGCAGGCCCCGCCCTCGGCCCTCGCCCCTCGGCCCTCGCCCCTCGCCCCTGCCGGGCACACCCTGCTGCTCTTCTCCTTCCCATCGCCATTTTTGGCCCCGTCTGCGTAAGATGCGGTTTGTGGCATATGCAGAGTACAGGGCCTGACAGCAGCACGGAACGGCACAGACCACGGCAGTGCACGTGACACAGCCCGCGGCCGCGGCAGGCCCAGCGCCTGTTCCCCAGAGCAGCCCCTGAGACAGTGAGCCCCAGCCACACGGCAAAGAGGAAGGAAAACACAACGTCCCTGTTTCTGTAATGCCTCGAACCTTGAGACATAGTACGGATAGATAATATTATTTCCATTCCATCCCTCACACGAAAGAATTTAGGAGCAAAACATATGGAACAGATAGAAAGCAAATCGCACGGCACTGGGCGCTGGTATGATTGTGCCCCTCCCCCACTGGCCTCTCCACACACG